TATACGTACTAATAGAGTATGCGTTACAGTAAGGTACTATACGTACTAATAGAGTATGCGTTACAGTAAGGTACTATACGTACTAATAGAGTATGCGTTACAGTAAGGTACTATACGTACTAATAGAGTATGCGTTACAGTAAGGTACTATACGTACTAATAGAGTATGCGTTACAGTAAGGTACTATACGTACTAATAGAGTATGCGTTACAGTAAGGTACTATACGTACTAATAGAGTATGCGTTACAGTAAGGTACTATACGTACTAATAGAGTATGCGTTACAGTAAGGTACTATACGTACTAATAGAGTATGCGTTACAGTAAGGTACTATACGTACTAATAGAGTATGCGTTACAGTAAGGTACTATACGTACTAATAGAGTATGCGTTACAGTAAGGTACTATACGTACTAATAGAGTATGCGTTACAGTAAGGTACTATACGTACTAATAGAGTATGCGTTACAGTAAGGTACTATACGTACTAATAGAGTATGCGTTACAGTAAGGTACTATACGTACTAATAGAGTATGCGTTACAGTAAGGTACTATACGTACTAATAGAGTATGCGTTACAGTAAGGTACTATACGTACTAATAGAGTATGCGTTACAGTAAGGTACTATACGTACTAATAGAGTATGCGTTACAGTAAGGTACTATACGTACTAATAGAGTATGCGTTACAGTAAGGTACTATACGTACTAATAGAGTATGCGTTACAGTAAGGTACTATACGTACTAATAGAGTATGCGTTACAGTAAGGTACTATACGTACTAATAGACTATGCGTTACAGTAAGGTACTATACGTACTAATAGACTATGCGTTACAGTAAGGTACTATACGTACTAATAGAGTATGCGTTGCAGTAGGCAACAATTATCGAGCACCTACATGTAAAAAATATACGTAATGAAATGTTCCGTCCCTAATATACGATAATGTAATCTAAAGTGCTATTAATTTACGTAAGATACATACTAATATGGCAGTGGTTTCCATTGAATCCTTTCTTACACCTGCACCTAAAATCTCCTCCCTCGATGTTGACACATGTCCCGTGTTTTCCGCACACGTTTGAGTCTACGAGATGGCTGAACGTTTCATTCTGGTACACGGTGATCTTACACGAATCGATCACTGAAAGAACAATGTTACTTATTATCACTACGGGACTAAATGGATTGGTCTGAAATAACGACACCTCAGCAGTCACACACAAAGAAATCAAGAAGAGGCGCCATGCATAAATCCCAGTTATTCGTGAAAAAACAAGTTTTTTGAAATCACAATTGACTAAGGTTTATGCATGTAGCTGCTACTGCTGCGTCTTTTGTGTTTGACTAGTGAGGCGATATACGGCTATATAACGTCATCAAATAGCGCGGTGCTTCATTAATACCACTGATAACATGATCTTGTGACATCATGCAGAGCCGATTGCGTGACAGTAGTTTGCGTGACCGTGGGCCACAGAGAGTATAAATACCTTGTTCACAAAATTGACCCCTGCTGCCTGTAGGACACTGACATTGAAAGCCATTGACTCTATCTCTACATCGTCCTCCATGTTGACAAGGATTAGATGAACACTCATTAATATCCACTTGACATTGTTTCCCAGAATACCCCGCAGCACAAACACAGCTTGCCTTGTATCGTCCATTGGCGCATGTCCCTCCATTATAACATTTATAGTTATTACAATGATTGACAAGCGTTTGACAGTTACGTCCAGACAGACCAATCGGACAGACGCACTGGTACGTGTTGATATCAGGAATACATGCAGCCGAGTTGAGGCATGGTGCAGAGTCACATGCATTTAGTCTAGTTTCACATCTGTCTCCTGTGAATCCTAGGGGACAAGAACAAAGCGATGTACCAACTCCCCCGATACATGTGCCGTTGTTAAGACAGGGGTTGCTAAGGCACTTGTCGATAGGAGCGTCGCACTGAGGACCATCAAACTCAGCCCTGAAAGAAAAGTTTGGATCAGTTCTTGTCAAGATAATTCTCATTACCATGCAAACCTACCTGCACTTACAGACATATCCATTAATTTTATCTTGACATGTACCACCATTACGGCAAGGATTATCGCGACCACAATCATCGATGTCAATATTGCAATGTACACCAGTGAATCCCGAAGCGCACTTACACTCGTACCCATTCACCTTATCGATACACGCGGCCGTAGGGTGACAAGGTGACGACGAACATTCATTAATGTCAACGTTACATAAAGTACCATTGTATCCCACTGGACACACACACGTAAACCCATTCGACATATCCAAGCACGTACCGCCATTTAGACATGGCGAASAAAGACATTCATTGATGTTAGTTTCACAGTGTTTCCCAGTGAACCCTTTCGTGCATGCACATTCACTGGTATTGCTCGATAACTTTTTGCAAACACCGCCGTGAATGCATTGGTTAGGTTCACATGGGTTGCCACTTGAAGATGTTGAAATGATCGAGCAGTTTCGACCAGTAAAACCCGAGCTACAAATGCACTTGTAGTCGCCTACCATTTCCTTGCAGTGTCCGTGAGAGCATGGGTTGGGCTGACACATATTGACTTTGTATTGGCAGTTGACTCCTCGGAATCCTATTGGACAGACGCACCGGTATCCATTTACGTCACTCCTACATACCCCGCCATTCAGGCAGGGGTTGCTATGACAATAGTTTTTCATGACTTCACAATGTCGCCCAGAGAAGCCTTTCGGACAATGACACAAGTAATCGTTAGTCTTGTCTTCACATGTACCGTTATTTTTACACTGGCCGGCACAATCGTTGATATCTGACAATACACAAACATATCAAAGTTAGAAAAAGAAGCGAAATTTGTAAGCAAAGGCCATACGTTATAGCTGACTGTAGTCTGACTTACTTATGTCACAGTTTCTTCCCTTCCATCCTGTCCGACACTCACAGGCGTAATCGTTGACAAGGTCAATGCACTTTCGTCCATGAACACACGGTTTTGCAGCACATTCATTGATGTCTAGATATCAGAAATACAACATGAATACATTCATTGATATCTAGATATCAGAAATACAACATGAATTCAAGCAAAAGGCAGACATCGTTTAACCAAAGGCTTACTTTGTTCACATTTCTTTCCTTCCCAGCCTGGCTGACACGTGCACTGGAAGCCAGAGTCGTCTGCAATGCATGTCCCACCGTTTTGACATGGCTTACTGTGGCATCCTTTGCCTAAAATACCAGCTTAATATTAATACACAGATTGACAGGTCATGGATATCGCGCGGTCGCTTAATATTAATACACAGTACAACAGATTGACAGGTCATGAATATCGCGCGGTCGCATGGCATGATAAAAAAAAAAATCAGAAGTAAAGGACATTATGATATCAACATGTACCGTTGCGGCTTTAGATTCTACGACTATAGCGCGGTAAGCATTGTATACATAGTGATGGTTTGCGTGTTCTACTTACTTATCTGACACGTTCTGCCCTCCCATTTGGAAGTACAATTACAATGAAAACTAATGAGGTCGTTTTGACATGTCCCATTGTTATGGCAAGGACTAGAGGCACAGAAGTTGATCTCTGGGACAAAGAAATGAATAAATGAATGAATGGAAATAATGAGAAGTGAAATCAGGAATAATAGATAGAACAAGTGATTATGTTATCAATGTCCGTGCATGATAATCAGATACATACTTGATTGACAGTTTCTGCCTGTGTATCCGGGTGGACATTCACATCTATGTCTGTCTGGCCCGTTATTAAAGCATGTCCCGCCATTGCGGCATGGTAGCTTACGACAGTAATCCAAGTCTAAAAGCATTAGATGACAGTTATGCTATATAGTGTGTTGGAATTTATAATTTTATTGTTTACTTACCCCGGTCACAGAAAATACCACCCCAGCGGTTCTTGCAGTTACATTCCCAAGGTTTAGAGCAGTTACCATGGAGACAGCCAGGGTAGGTACGGCACTGATCACATAATGGTCCTTCCCAGCCATAATGACAGCTATAACACAATAATTTAGATTTAAATGCTTTGCATTTCTCTGATGAACCTATCAACTAGTCCATCTTGATTTGATACTCTGCGTAAGGTCAAGAAAGACACACTATGATTAGAGTAAGAAGTTCACCAGAAACGGTTTATACATTAGACCTGATAACAACTATCATGTTGTCTATCAATAGATTGTGCAATTGTCTAAACATATTGCATGCAACCTGCATAAGTCATAGCTAGAACTGTATTCTTTTCATTCCCTAATTGATAGTTGTAGACACATGTTTTAAGGATGACACATGCCGGCTAATAATAAACAACGACTCAAGCCCGAGTGTTGACTTACTTGCATTCTCCTGGTCTAAAGCATTTGCCATGATTAGGATCACAACCTTGTCTACATATGGCTAAATATTGAACAAAAAAAAAACAATATTGACAATTTATCAAGAATAATCTTTCTTTCAAGACTAATTTTGTTCAAAAGAAAATGATTTATATCTTGAGTAAATATCATTGAATGGAATGATGACATGGGCGGGAAGAAGTATCGAAAAAGTTTGATTACTCAAATGAATGGATGAAAATACAAGGTACTTACCAATATTACAATGTTGGCCTCTCCAGCCTGGATGACATATCTTATGACCAATGTCATCACAATCATAATGGCCAAATTTATCATTTCGTGGTTCACACCAGTCAGTACATGTCTTGCCATAGTAGTTTGGTACACAAACCACCCTTAACTTGTATTCTATTGCTGCTGTTGGTCCATTATAGCTGTGAGATTCCCAGGTTTTGTTGGGCAGTAGAATTCCTCGATACGATGCAACGTCAATCAATTGACTTTTCTCTGAATATGATAAGAGTTCAGTACAAAAAATGTTAGAGTTTATCATAACAATCAGAATAAATCTTGAATGATTCTTATGATGAATTTATTCTTGACAATAGTGGTTTTGCATTTTTAATCTCAAATCTTCCGAGTACTTCTATTGGTGTTTACAAATCTGATCTTCATCTTAACATTAATTAACAAGGTCAATGTAAGTTACATGAGAGAGTACATACTTCCTTTATCAGCATCTCTCGCCTCGATCACCAGCTGGTAAGTAGTCTGTAAACAAGAGGTGGAATCACATCAACCAGTGTGCAAAAACACACCAACCAATCAGCAGCAATATGCAAAAACACACCAACCAATCAGCAGCAATATGCAAAAACACACCAACCAATCAGCAGCAATATGCAAAAACACACCAACCAATCAGCAGCAATATGCAAAAACACACCAACCAATCAGCAGCAATATGCAAAAACACACCAACCAATCAGCAGCAATATGCAAAAACACACCAACCAATCAGCAGCAATATGCAAAAACACACCAACCAATCAGCAGCAAT